AGGTTGTACCGCTTGCGAGAATACTCGGACCCTTGTCGACATGATGATGGTGAGATAGAGTGATTTTCATAAATTAGCCACTTTTCGATGAGAGTGAGTGAAAGCCCTTTCGGACCGAAAGTCCCTCATTTGACATTTTCAAGACACTCACTTGTGAGTTCGGATTGTCTTATCATGATTCTCTCCAGTGAAGTTTGGCAATGCCGATTCGACAAAATCGTCATGCATGAAAATCGGTTGAATTTATAGTGCATGAGTATATGTGTTCTTGATTGTCCATGAATGCATATTACATGTTGCCTAAAATCGTGTCTAGCAGGAGACACACCTTCAAGAGTCAGAGATATCACCAGGTAAGTATATCTCTATTTCTTGGATGCCTCTGTGACTATCCGGTATCCCTAACTTTGTTCGAGTAATCGTCAAGCCCCATATTTGATCATTTTGTTGCGATCTCTAGATGCTTCTGACGATATCCAGGTATCTATTGATCAAGCCTTTTCAGGTACCTCTGATGATATCCAGGTACTTTGTCAAGGAATCTTCGAGCATTCGGGCTAGCCCCTCTGCTCGCCAAATCGTTAAATACCTCAGACGATATCCAGGTATTTATCGATCAAGTCCTTTCAAATATCTTAGATGATGACTAGATATTTCGTTAGGCACACCTTTCAAACAATTTGGAAAGTTCCTTCTTAAACACCTCTGACGATATCCAGGTGTTTAGCAGTTGACTCTTTCCGAATACCTCCGACGATATCCAGGTATTTCGTTAAAAGTAGGAATGTATTCCAATTTGTTGAATCACTTTTAGTGTACTCGATGATAACTAGGCACCTTGTTAAGCCCCTTTCTAGCAAATTGGAGAAAGTCCCGCATTAGGCACCTCTGATGATATCCAGGTTCCTAATGAATAATTTTCTCGAGTACCTCTGATGATATCCGGGTATTTCGACAAAAGGTGGGATAAATTCCGTTTCGCTAGGTTATCACTGGATGCCTCTGATGATATCCAGGCATTCGGCGGAAGGTCCGTTTCGAGTATCTCGACGATATCCGGATATTCGAAGTAGTCTTCCATTCTTTGATCTCTAGACACCTCGCATAATATCCAGGTGTCTATTGATCACCATCTTCGATTACATCCCGGGAGACGATATCCAGGTAATTCGAACTACCCTTTGTGTGTCCTAATTGAATTACAGGTCACCAAGTCCATCGGCGTTCATCGGGCAATACTTTTGGGACTCGAGCCCAAACATTTGCCAAACAACCTATAGGATCAGAGTCATGCCTCAAATTACGCTACCACTCTTGTCAGGTAAGTAACTTCAGGTATGTTTTATTCATGTTAACATGCATCATGATATACTGCATTTCAAAATGGGACTCATACTCCCACAAAAATAACATTCATTGCATTTGCATAGACAAAATTTAGGTATCATCTAGTCTTTGAATGCAACCTCTTCGAGCTCACATTTAAAGAGGGGCATTCAAAGACTAGATGACACTTAAATTTTGACTAACCATTTAGTGATTAGTTACATAGAAAATTAGGGATTAAATTTTAGTCCCTAACAAAAATATTAAAGTTAAATTACATAGCATTTTGTTTGAAGAACATTTATTAAGTAGTTGCATTTGCATCGGACTAGTGGCGATGGGCTTTAACAAAATTTAATTGAACTCGGAGTTAATGGACTCAAGTACGAGGTTCTCAACCCAATGGAATTAATTAGATCAAGCCCGTGTGAATTAAAGATTTGGCCCAACTCGTTATGCCCTCAAGTGGTCAAGATTGACATGTGCGTTGCGCGTATGGCACATTGGATTAAGAAATATTGAGAAAATATCATGAAAATCTTTGGGCGCAAGATAACAATATTCACGTGAAAGAGTGGACAAAGCTGGAATTTGGACAGGATGGGGTGGAAATATTCGTGAAGGGACAAGGTTGCACGTGGTGATATATACTTGATCTTATTATATCTTCAATGAGGGCACGTGGATTTGCAAGGAAGAGGGAGGAGGATCAAGTAGATTTGGTTTCCTTCGTGGCAAAGGGGAAACAATATAAAGAAAATAACAAAAAGAGGGAAAGAAGCATAGGGAATTTGGTCAGCATGGGGGCATATATATTGGACAGAGTATCATGGAGGCTCTTCACGTCTTTCGGTAGTGCGGACGAAAGAAATTTGATCACGTGCAGGGAAGAATATATATTTGGCCATATTCTCTAGTCTCAAAGAAGGCAAGTACAAGTGTATGCTAGGATCGAAAAGAAAATACGGGAAGAAGTCAAAGCATAATATATCTCAAATATCCCAAGAGGTTATCTTTCTCTCAAAACCCTAGGCCCTCTCACCTATAAAAAGGACCTCCTACGGGCAAGAATAGGGGGGGGGGGGTCTGATCACACACGAGAAACACAGGAAGAAGAGACAAGAGAGAAGAGAGAGAAGATTTATCTTCTTCCTCGGGCGTGTGTTTCTACGATCATGACCGAGAGCTCCACGACCGGACGCCGCTTTCTTGCTGCTTTCGGTCCTCCTCGTGGTTGCTCTTCCGCTCATCGCTGCGTCATTCAACTAAGTCGGTGGCAGTCCGTGAAGAAGTTGTCGCTGCTGTACCCACCTTCGACGACGACAAGAAGGAGGAGCCGCTTCAACCTTTGGCCCTCGATGTCCCTACTGCATGTGCTAAACCGACGAGTCACGTTGTCGAAGTTCCCGTCTCGTGACGATTGCCACGACCTACTTCCTGTCTTGGCCCCGTGACGTGGCTCCTACTTTGTTCCGACGAGGATTCGCTGTCCACGAGCTGTTTCGCCCCTCACTTGATGCTGTCCTTGCGCGAACCCAACCGAGACCGAACTTTACGTTTGGTTCGGTCTTCTCTCGATTTGCGTTCACCCAAGGCTCAAGCTTATTGTTGACGGAGTCAACATACTACGTCCAGGCAAGTCCAACTTGGTGATACCTCTGCCGAATTGCTCATCATTGTTGTTGTTTGCCTCTTCATCGCGAGCCCTCCGCCGCCACAGGGAGTCTGCGAATCACCATCGAGACGAGTCGCTTGTGATCCATCACCAGTCCGATCTGCCACCGTCCGCTGATCCCGAGACATTCAAACTTGGAAAGGAAATATTCGAATTAGGTAAAAAGCTCATTTAATTTGACTTTCGAGTATATTGTTTCCTTGTTTACAATATTACAATTTTGTGTGAATCTTTGAGTGATACTGCCATATCCATGAAATTCCCGAGTAGCTTTAAATTAGGAATTATTTCCTAATTTCACAACGTGCATATGATCGACAGTCCGATTTCATGCCCGAAATATGACTCGCGATCGCACGGAAATCGTCAATCCGATCTCTCGCCCGAGATATGATTCGCGGTTGCGCAAAGAATTGGCCAATCCGATCCTCATGCCCGAGATACGATTTGTCAATTTATTTTCCAAATTTAAATGAATATGGATGATATCTTGGGTGATTGAATGCTATTTTTGATTTTGGCTTGATCTTTGGTTTGATTTGATTCGATTCTCTGTTTAAAAATCCCAAAAATATTAGATAGTATCAAGGTAAATTTTTCTAGATAGATTGCATGCTAGGTTAGGGTTTATCTAGTAAGGATAACATTCCGATTTAAATTAGGATTTTGGCCTAGTTTAATTCCTAAAATGAATTGGATAATATCTTGCACTAGATAATGAATTTTTATCATTTTATAATTTCGAATTTCAATGAAAAATACAAAAAGGTATCATGCGCATGTCATATAGATTAATTGCATCATGCTTGCATTATCACTGCCATGTCATTGCTACGTGCCACGTTGCGTGTCTTCTTGCTACGTCATTCACATATGCTATGTCGCATGTCATCTTATCACGTCATTCATACCTTGCCATGTATCATTGCACGCGTGTCATTAGAAATTGCATGTCTAGGTTCATTTGTGTGCCATATTAGAATAATCCATTTAAAGGTAATTGTATGTCGTGTGTCATGTTAGACTAGCATTATGCATTGCATATAGTTTAGTTTTTTTCATTAAATAAGCGAAAACTCCAAAAAATATCGTGTGATTTGCGTGTTAATTAGAAATCATATTAGGGTTGTTGATGTGATTTTCTAACTAACATCGCAGATGCTTTCGTTGCTTTGAGGTAAGTCCCTATCTTGCAATTTATTTATTGCTTTGCATTATTGGGTGTTTCATTAATGGTTGCGCACCCGCATGAACACCTCACATGTTAGTGATTAGGTAATAAAATGGATACAGACTGCCTGCATAAATATTTTTGAAAAGAAAAGGTACCGAAAGGGCGTTAGACTAGATCTAGCGTAACCAAGTCCCTGAGCTTAGAATCTCTGGTTCGTAGGAATAAAACATATCTCCCTATGTTTTATTTAGGTTTCTAATCGACCTACCACAAATAGATTAGTGGCGACTCCAAGCATGAAAACTTTTGCATGTTAAAAAACTTAAACCTTAAGTTACGAATTGGTAGGGCTTGGGAGGGCCCGAGTTAGGCTTAGTCTTAATAATCCATTAGCCTGAGAAATTTTAGGTCGCGACATAAACGATCAGGAAACAAGAACACATTGCCCTGATACCAATGTTGGAAACAGATTCCTAAACATAATGCAAAAATTGCGGAAAAACGTGCCCATTCTATACTTGAATCACTGATCGTTCAAAGTATATCACGTAAACGAACATACCTCTTTACCACAGATTAAATGCACTTATCACAGCCTCGAGAGAGAGAACAATCCTTGAATTATTGAACAAAGCCCCTTCTTCTTTGTCCTTTAGTGAGAATAAGTTTTCTGATAATGAAAACGTAACCCACACACACTCTTACGTGTGTTCTCACTTTTGTTTCTAGACAATAACTGCCAAGTGCAGTTATTTTCTTTCATAGGCTGGGTTAGCCCATCATGGGCGTCCCATCTTCACAAAGAAAATCCATCACCTCTCAATAATTTAGTGACCTCAGTGAAGTTACTCAATCAGTTATTAATGTAGTACTTGGAGGAGTTGTCTCGCAGTGCAACCCGGCTTATTTCAAAATCGCTTCCAGGAAGAGCTTCATATCCACCGTCATCCTGGAGTTTTGGAAAATGATCATATCAAAAACATTTGAACACTGTGACTCTGCAACAAAATCAGGCTCTAATTACTCATCTCTTATCGTCAGTGATGGGTGCGAAGAATGTCCGCTTATATGTATCCCAGTTGCTTGAGAGAAACAGAGGAATATCAAGAAACAGATACTAGCCCCATACAACTATTTAGCCTACTTATTTGTAGTGCTATTCAGAAGTGAAGGGTGTCTGAGTAACAGATAAAGACTTAACAATTTTATCCTGCAATCTCTATTGGATATCAAACATGGCAAGGGCAGATATCGTTAAGAGATGCAAGTCCTTATTACCAAGTCCACAATTTCCTGAAAGTGAATGGAAACGCCAGCACTGTCAAGATTCTGGTGATTAGCCGAGTTATGGATAAGCTCCGAAACCTTGTTGAGCCTCATCTGCAGAGACAAGCCCAGATTCCCGCAAACGCAAAATCACTTTCGCAGTATGGTTTCTGAACAGCTTGATAAAATTTAGCTTTGAAGAGCATGCATCTGCAAACATACCTGCTTTGCTCTCTTCCCGAACACGAACATCATAGCATCTATCACATTGCTCTTCCCGCTCCCGTTCGGTCCGATTACAGCCGAAAAGCTCTGAAAAATTCACAACACCCAGAACTCAATAGTCGTGTTCGCAAGCCGCAAACCTCTTCACCTCTTTGTCAAACGAATAACATGGGAATTTCTCAAAATCTGAACTTTCACCAACATGTGCGAGGCGAAACTCCCGTTTCTCTTCGCCACAAGAACAAGAAATTCAGGCTAACGGCAACAAATTCCGCAGTGAGAGACCTCGAAACCCTCACCTACCTTGTGAAAAGGGCCATTGCGCTGCTCGCCGGCGTAGGACTTGAAGTCCCTCATCACCATCTCCTTGATGAACAGCCTCGGCGAACCACTCCCTCTCGATGACTTCCGACCCGGCTCGCGGGCCATCGCGTCGTCCCCGATGTCCATCCCCGTTGTCCTTTGATTCGGAAGCTTCGCCCGCGCTGCCCCGCGGCCGATCAAGGTCTCGAATTCGTCTGGCGGGTGCTTGGTGACCGGTCTCCGGGGAAGAGGAAGCCAGCGAGCTCTCTCCAATATCAGAACGCGCAACGATATATTATAGGCTGTGATCTCTCCGAATCTCCAGCTCCTACGCGTGCGGATTTTCGGGGAGACAGAATCATGCAAAATGGCGGGAAAGTGAATTTCGAGAGTCTTGCTTTGAATTCAGGATGATCCGACGGGATCGAGCTAAGAGGAGGCCGAGTTAATTGGGCTTTGCCTTAACGTTTCGTAAAAAATGAATGATTTGAAAAATATTTTTCTAAAAAAATGATTGATTGTTAACTTTACTTTTTACTATCTACAACAATTTATACTCTTACCTTACCAAAAAAAAAACAATTTATATCCAAGCATTTTTGTGAATGGTGAAATTTTTTTCGATTTATTCATTTTGGTAAGCGATATGAGCAACCACTTTTAAAAAAATGGTTAATATGGCAAAAAACTCCAAGCTGATATACTTATGATAAATTTACATTTCATTAGTTTCCGTTAAATTTTAATGACAAATTGCTGAGTTAGATAACGCATGGCAGTTGACGGGTATACCAGTTTGCAGTTTTACCCTCCATTTGTCACAAGTGCATCAATTTGAAATTTTTTATGGTATAAATCCAATTTAACGGAAAATAAATTGATCACAAATTTTACAGATTAGTCGAGTTTGCAATACAGGGACATTTACATTAGCGCTTTTGAAGATCTCTTCAGGGGTATATCTTCTGCCCAGGAGTTTTAATTATGTGCATAAAGAAAAACAAGTGTACCTCATTTATAATTCAATTATTCATTCATTCGATTTGAGGTTCGAGGTGTATGGACATTTCAGATCGTGACAGATATCTCAGTATTTGATGTGTGGCTTGGTCCATTCTTACGCAAACTACCTATGCTAGGAGCTACAACTTGTCTGAGCCCTCTCATCACGGTAATCATTTCCTGCCCTTCTTGAATTGAGTATGGGCCTAGTCCGTCCATGAACCACACATTTACGAGGATCCTACTTTGATACCATTGATAACAACCCGGCCTATTCTACTTGTGTCAAGCCCCCAAAAGGAGTATTCTGAGCGACCACACAAGATGATTGACCATTTGAGATTGAATGTCGACTTATAAATTACTTAACATGGCCGCTCCCATTCAAAGTGGAACTTGGGATGACACATTAAAAACTCAAATGTGTTGGCCACCAAAAAAAGAAAAAAAAAAAGAGAAATGACTAATGCAAAATTATCCATTGTCCCACTTATATCTTATTCTTACACAATGTCCACACACAGTATCATCAATGCGCCTCACAGGGAAGTTTCATCTCTTTTCTTTATTTCCACAACATTCCAAAGACACTGAATTTCATGGCAACTCACATGGTGAAACTCCTCTTGGTTTTCGAAAAGCTTAGGCGAATTGAAGGTGCTGCTTTCCAAAGATGGCTCGTGAATACCCATTTTTATCTAACGATTAATAAGGTGGCTTGTGTAACAATACCACAACAATGGGACATTTTCTCTTACATAAGTCCACGGTATTGTACATGTAAAAGTATGCACCATTGTATATACCTTACAAATGTTCAGCTTCTTGAAAGAAAAATTCTGTTTTTGATTTAGTAACGTAGAGTTTTCTCAACCGTAAGATTTCAAATGCTATAGAGATGATTTCGATAATTTTAACTACGATTTTTTGGTCAAAATTACACAAAAGTTCTCAATGATAAATTAAATAGTCAATAGTCGGCATACATAACTATATAAATTGTCTTTTTGATGCGTCAAATGCCGCTCGTAGCAAAAAAGTGACTTGCAACTCGCTTATCTAGTCCTAGCCACAAGTGAATAGCTTACCAACAATTTTTATCGCATAAGGACGTTTTTTTTTTAAACTTTCAAGATTAATAGCTGCTTTAATAATCAACCACTATTTACTTTTATAGCTTATCAACGCTTACAAAGTTCGTAGCTTTGTTTGAGATTCCCAACCTTAATTTGATTGATATACCAATATTAATTAAGTTAAGATGCCAAATGATTTTGGTCACTTACCAATCCTTATCTTGCTAGATTTTGAAAATTGAAAAGTACCAACATCTCTTTATAACGTCGCAGTCTCAGAGGATGTAAAGGAGGCCAGGGAGGATCCTTCACGAACTCCGGGTGAATAGTGATGTTGAAGTAATTCAGCACGATAGGAGAGTTGCAGTAGAAGAAATCAGCTCTCGCATCTGAGGCTACTGAGACGACCATACACGGCAATGATGACGACGAGCGTACGAAGATGGATGATTCAGTTGAGATGAAATTCAAGACGGGTCTGCAGCGTGCCGATGCGGGTGACCGAGTGCCGAGGAATGTGCCTGCGGTTGCACTGAAGAATAAGGGGTTCGCCGTTTTCGAAGGGCGGGACGAGGAGGAGGAGTTTCTGGAGTTTGTGCATTGGCCAAGATGGTGACTCGTCCAAGCTCGGGATCGTCAATGCAATTTTGCTTCATCCACTGCTCCTGCAACTTGTTTTCATCGGCTCTTACGTTGGATACACAAAACTGTCCAAGAAAAGAGAAGTCCAAAGAAACTCTTTTGGTGTTCCTGCAAATGTAAGGAAGTCGAATCTGAATTTCGATTATGAAAGTGATTGCTAGTTCGATTACACTATTATCATGTTTGGTGGTTTCATGTTAGTCTAGATCGATTTTGCTGCATAATATTTGGTGGCACTATTTCCAATCCCTATATGACTAAATCCAACCAATTTCACTAGAAAGACAAAATTATCCTCAACCATTCAATTGCAATTTGAATTGGTGGTCCCAAATTCGTTCATTTATTTTTTATTAGTTTTTTTTAATATCTATGTGGAATCTATTACCATAATTAAGAATTTCATATGTTTAGTTTTGTTTATTGCAGAATTTCATGTATATTAAAGGCGCTATGTTTTTTTATTATTATTATTAGATATTACTTTCATAAAAGTCGGTTTTGTCAAAAAAACTAGATTTCCAAGAAACCTAGTTCTTTTCTACATCATCGAGCAAATTTGTGGATAAATTGTCAAGTAGAGTATAGAACGAATTTAAAATAGACAACTTTTTAACACATTGACTTGTTTATATATTTTCACTTTTGTTGTGTATATCATCATCAAACCCCTTCTTATCGATTTTCTTTTGCATACAAATACAAATAAGGGGATGGTCACATGAAGCAAAAAAAAACGCCTCTTTGAAGATTTTTCAAAATAAAATCACAATACATTCTCCAACGTGAAAATGTAGAAGATAAAATTTAATTAAATAAAAAATTTGCATAAAATAAGATTTTTTTTAAAATGCCAGTGAAATATCATTATTTGGATTGACAAAAATTAATATCATCCATAAACTCTTTATGAAAAAATATCATAATGCCTTATTGTATATAATGTTTTAGCATATTTCTAGATATTCCTCTAACGCTATACATGCTCTGGGAAATATTACCAAAAAAGTCCTAAACTATTGAACTTTTGCCAATTTAGTCCCAAACCGTTTAATTGTACCATTAAATCCTAAATCTTTTTTTATTTCTCCAATTGAGTCCATCCGATCAATTTTGGTACGAAGGTCAAAAGCTTGAGTTTTGTTTCTACACTCCCCATTTCACAATTCACCAAAAATAGATATGTTAATTTTCACGTATTACACAGATTTGGTTGTTAATAATTACTTTCCTTGTGCAGGGAATACTTAAGTATTAGAAATTTTTACAGGAATTTATACAAAATAAAATTCGCATGCTCTTTACTTGTTTGGATTAAAACCTCAAACCGGTACATTTGTGACAAATTTACCCTCCATTAAATTAGATTAATACCACGAAAAATCACAAATTGGTAAAACCTGTGACAAGTGAAGGGATAAAACCCCAAAATGGTATACCTGTCAACTACCACGTGTCATCCAATTCAGCAATTTGATGATCAAATTTACGGAAAACTAACGGAGTGTAAATTTATCTCAGGCATATCAGTTTAAGGTTTTTGGTGGTCAAAAAATTAATTTGGGGTAAATTTATCATAAATGTACCAGTTTGAGGTTTTTCGTGGTATTAACCCTTAATAATCGTGGACTTCACCTTTCTTGCTTGAGTTGCACCAAGTTGCTTGCTTACCAAGCAAATCCTGGTTGCCACAGGGAAATGGCACCTAACCTTGCTAATGCTGCTAATCGGATCTTGATTTGGTTCTTCAATTTCGTTAAGGTCGCACTTTATTAAGATTCCCAAGACAAATATATGAACTTCCATTTATCAATTACTCATGATTTTGAATTCGTTTCTTCTTGATGTGGAGTTGTAGCTACTTGTATTCAGAATTTCCTTAAAAATTTCTACCCCTCATTATTCATTGAAAGGGTAATTACTTTTATTATACAACTAAAATGTACAAGAAATATCCGTAGATATTTTGCTAATTAAAAATTCATTCATTGGCGATGCCCACCCATATACATTATACACACACTCATGATGTATACACCAAATGCATTCAAATCTATAAGGATTTTATGCAAGGCACTTAAAAAGAATTCGATACTTTTGGTTTTTAGTTATTTTTAATATTCCTGTAAGTAGAATTTTTTTTTTGGGAAAATAACCATGATATATGATTGCTAGTATATTCTTTTAAAGTTATAATGTAATCGCATCAAGAAACGATTTGTTTCGCGAAAAATAAATGATTCCTTTCGTTATCGATATGCTTAAAGTTTGAACCACGCAATCATCCCCACAAAAGCAATGATAGGCCCAAGATGTTCGCTTTGTCAAAATGAGTCATGGACCAATTTCTTAATTCATAGATGATGATGGGTTGAGTTGTTATATAAATTAGTTATATTCATTAAATGATCATATATAAGTTTACAACTTACTTAAATCCAGCTCACCTATGACTCTCTCTTCATTCTCTCTTGCTATCACTTGATCTCGCGTTCATTCACTTCGCGCTTTCATCTCAGTGTGGGTATGAGTTTTCCCAAACTCGATTAAATATGAAAATGTTTTAACAATATGGATTAGGTCGGGTCGGGTGTGGATTTGGTATGAGTCGGATTGGATATGGGTCACTGGATTTGCATTATATATAAATGAGTCAAAACGGATTAAATGGGTCTATTTGGGCCGGACCATTTTCGACTCGACTCAACCCACTCGTTTAATGGGTCTACATGAGGCCAATTAATCTCAACCGTCAAATTATATAGGGTTAATACCACGAAAAACCCCAAATTAGTACATCTGTGACAAATTTACCCTAAAAATTAACCCCTAAATTGGTACACTTATGATAAATTTACTCTTCGTTAGTTTCTGTTAAATTAGACTGTTAAATTGTTGAGTTGAATGACACGTAAATGGTTTTACCCTCCATTTATCACAAGTGATCAATTTGTGATTTTTCTTAATATTAATCCAATTTAACGGAAACTAACGTAAGGTAAATTTGTCATAAATATATAAGTTTGGAGTTTTTAATGACCAAAAAAATTAATTCGGAATAAATTTATTATAGATGTACAAGTTTAGGATTTTTCATAGTATTAACCTAATTATACGCGGGCGTGGACTCGAACTTGCCTAATCAAACACGTGACATTATCCGAACAATAGTAAAATTGCAACGACAGCCTGGCAGGCTGATTTGGCCTTGGGCCCCACAAGCCCAAAAAAACCGCGGGGAAGAACGACGAGGGCAAAGCGAAACACACAAAACCGAAAGCCAAACGTCACTCTCTCTGCTCTCTGCTCTCATCACTCTCTCTCTCTCTCTCTACGTCCATATCTCTTCGCCGTCGCTGATGGAGTCCACCGGCGACCGCGACCCCGCCGGCGGCCACCGCCGCCACCGGCCGGATGAGAGAGGCCAGAAGCGCAAGGCGGAGGCGGGGCCGGGGCCCTACGTCGGTCCCCGCTCTTCCGCGGAGTGGTTTGAACTGATCAGGCGCGTGGTCACGGAAGCCGACCCGGCGAAGCTGGTGCCCCTCGCGATCGAGATGGTCGGCATCCTCGACCGCACCTTCTCCTGGCGCGAGGACGATCGCGACGACGCCCAGAGCGCCATTGGCATCCTTGCTGCACTCGCCGAGAAGGGTAAACGAGTCGCTGAGCACACGCCCCCCCACTTTTTGTCGCGTTGATCGTCTCGAGTTCGTCTGTTTATAGCGTAGAGATTGAGTGATTGCTGGGACGTTAGCTGATTGATCGTGGAATCTCGTCACGCGCGATTAGTGTAGGCTGTAGAGTTGGTGAATGACTGAATGAACCATTAAACGAATCGATCGAAGTACGTAACCAAGTAAAATCAGAATGCATACACAGAGAAGGATGAGGAAGAAGAAGAGACAGAGTGCGGTCGAGATTTGACGAGAACGCTGCACAAAGATGCGATTTTTGCGATTCTCGACCTCAGACTAATCTCACTGATATACGCAATGAGCGATCCAGGGTCGAGATTAAACGGTCAGAGAAGCTCTGTTTTAGCGAATACCTTTCGGTTGGTGAGCCACCAAGACAAGTACGAGAAGAAGAAGCCATCGTTGTTCTGGCCCTGGTTCTTGCTGGGGTTGATGCAATGTGGGTTCTTGTTCTTGCTACTGCAGAACAATCAACCACGGACGACTATTTCTCTTCTCTCTCCCTCGCCTCTCTGTCCCTCTCAGAGGCTACAACACATTCTTGTGAGGGGCAATAATAAAGGGAGGAGCGGAATGAGAGTGGAGGGAGTAAATGAGAGGAGAGGGAAAATGGAAAGGAGTTGGTGGTGGTGAGGTCAGAGAGAGAGAGAGAGAGAGAGAGAGAGAGAGAGAGAGAGAGAGAGAGAGAGAGAGAGAGAGAGAGAGAGAGAGAGAGAAGGGAATGGAAATGGGAGGATTTAAATTGGGTTTGAAGAGATTTTGGGAGAGTAAAATAAGAGGGAGAGAGAGATAGAGAGAGAAAATGCCGGCTTTGACGTCAGAGAAAGCTTTATTTTATTTTTTAATTTTTTTAATCTTTTGTAGGTAAATGTGTGAACGAGATGGTTGAGAATGGAGTAATTCCTGCTTTAGTGAAGCATTTGCAAGCGCCGCCTTCGGGAGAAGGGGACAAGTGCGAGAAGTTTCGCTGGCATGAAGTTGAGAAGTCGAGTGCATACGCTCTGAGATTGCTTGCTGAGAAGGTAAGTGTAGTTCATATTGCTGATCTTTTTTCGAAATTTTTCAAGATGTAGATGCAATCAAGGTAAGTTTTTGTGTCTTCTTTCAATTGGAAATGTTAAAACTTCTATCTTCTACTTTTGGATTAAGTTTGAAGCACTACATTGTGGTCAAGGGCTATTTATTCTGCTCAAGTCTTCTTTTCCGTCTCTTGGTTTCAACAGCCAGAGCATCGACAACTCATAGTTAATGCTGGTGCCTTATCCCATCTACTCAATCTGTTGAAGCGGCACAAAGCAGGCTCTAGTTCACAGTCTGTGAATGGTCTTATTCTAAGAGCAGCCGAGGCTATTGCAAAGCTTGTTCTAGGTAATAGCAGCGCCAACTTCCTTGTAAGGTATTATGGCTTTCATACTTGTATGATTAATTGTCATTTTTTATAGTACCGCATCTTTCCTTGATTATACGGTGGATTTGTAGGATGGGAGGTGGTATTCCACTACTGGTTGAGTTGCTAGATGCCAATGACAAATATGTGCAAGGTGCAGCTGCCGTGGTGTTGTGCATGCTGGCTTTGGAAAATAAAGAGAATAGGAATCAGGTGGTCACATTTTAGGAAGTTAAAACTTCCAATTTGTCCTTCTGCAGCAATATTTGCCAAAAAATCTAGTGTCTATGGAGTGGCTTTTATTTTTTATCTTTTGCTTTTTTCAAATCTTGCAGCTCAAGCATCATTCTTTTTAAATTTTAACGGGCTAAACTTTCATATTATACAATTACTGACATGTAAATTTAAATAATCTATTTATTATTTCTTTTTAAAATAATATTCTGGACTTTACCAGGAAAGGAAAATGCTGCTTTTTATTTTTATATGCCAAATCAAATGGACTATTAGTAACTTGTAATTTCAGATCTTGGATTGTGGTGCTCTTCCAAGCATTGTGTTGATGCTCAAATCTGAGAATGCTGACATACACATTAAGGCGGTAAAATTTCTAGACAACCATTGTGCTTCATTGACCTATTTATGTGCTTATTATGGATTCTTAACTCGTTAATTGCACCACTAAAACTCACAATTTGCAGTGATCACTGGCTTTTCAGGTTGCATTGATTAGTGTTCTAGTGCGCTCATCTCCAAAAATAAAGAAGGATGTTCTGGCTGCTGGAGCTTTGCAACCTATCATTAGATTGCTCAGGTATGACTATGTCTTGGGTTTATTCATTGGTCACGATGTCTTTTGCTTGGTTGGCAAAGCAACTGTATATTGCAACTGTTTCATGTTGGAAACTACTGTCTCTTTGTGAAATTCAAAGTTCGTCTGTTGCAATGCAGTTCCAGCTGTGTTTTGAGCCAGAAGGAGGCAGCTCGCTTAGTTGGGCTATTTGCTGCTGCCAATTCAGTTTGTAAGGTGACTTATGAGAGTTGCTGTTTTACTTGTGATCCCTCTATATCCTTTGCTCTGTAGTTTTTTGTCTTCTATATATTTCTCTAAAGAAATATCATTTATATTACTTTTTATAGTGAAAACGATGATCACTTCTCTCTGTGCATCCCGAGAGCCCTCTGCCTGGGCCTCAGAGATCATATAAATATTTTTTTGAGGTCCTACTATTGGTCCTATGAAAGAGCCCTTACAAATGATCCTCATTTTCTTTTCTTTCAAAATTTCAGCAAAGTAGCTACTGTCTGCTGCTTAAGTGTACTGAAAATTTTCGACCAAAAAAAAGTGTACCAAAAATTTCACTATATCTTAAACTGCATAAATGACAATACAAGTACCTAGTTTGACAAATGGTAATGTCCACTTTCCTTCATCACACACATGAGCAAGCTTTCTTAACTGCATGCATCTTTTATTTAGTCCGATGATTGTAAGTAGCATATATAAATGTGGATGTACTAGTCTAGAAAACCTGATGTACTAATCATACGATGTGTTAAGTACAATAAATACGACAGAGGTTTTGGTAATGCATGTCTGGCTTTTGATCCGGAATCTTCTCTGGTCAAGTTATATGAAACCGCTCTGAGCTAAAGTTTCTTATCTTTGAATTCCATACTTTGGTCCTCGGCATAAGGGTCCAAACAGATGTTATTGGCAAAAATGTCTAAGGGATTATTTTTGCTGCTCTTTCTCTCTCAAGAAGCTGAATGGTTTTGTTTGTATTCCGATTGTGACTAGAAGCTCATTTGCTCACATTATTCAACAATGTTATACTTCTTGTCCATTTTAATGAAAAGCTTTAAACAGGCTATCGTTCAGAGGGGTGCAGTACGTCCACTTATTGAGATGCTTCGATCACCTAATCTTCAAGCGAGGGAATTTTCGGCTTCTGCATTGTGGAGATTGGCTCAGGTCATTTTACTCTACTGCAGCACTGGTCATTGATTTATAAGAATGTTGTGCTCAATTTATTTGAATGCTTTTCTTTTCCTTTATAGTTTCAATGACTTAAATTTCCCCTGCGTTTGAAAATTTAGAAGTTATCGTAGATATTAATGAAATTCCTGACTTCAGAAAATGGGGAGTTTGCACCTGTAGTTACCATGACTAGTTAATCCTATTGTATGGTTTATACATAGTAGATGTCAATGTGGTTTGCATGCTTAATTGCTGTTAATTCAATCAACCTTTTCAACTTCTGGACATGAACTCATTGTCATCTTGTAGTGATTCATAGAATACTTAGCCATGACTTGCTGATAAGCTGGTAGTTCAATTTAATTCCCCTCTGAACTTCATCATCTGCTTTCTGACAGCATGAAAATGAGCAATATATTAGCTTGGAGTAGAGCGGCTCTCTGGTTGGGCTAGTTGTGAGATTCACTGTACTCACTATAGGAAACACGTTCTTAATTTCAGAACTCAGACACTCAGGTTGGTATTGCTCATGAGGGCGGCTTACTGGCATTACTGAGACTTCTAGATTCAGAAAGTGAATCATTGCAGGATGTTGCTGCATGTGCTCTTCATTCTTTATTGAATAATGAGGTATTGAATAATCAGAAACTTTTCTGGACCAAGACTCAAATCCTATTGAAGTGGATGGCTGTCGACAACATTCCCGCGTCATCTAATGGATTTTCTTCATTTTTCACAGGATAACGTGTCAGATTTTATAACTATTGGTGGATTTCGGAAGCTACAGAGAGGAGAATTCACTGGCCGAGTAAGTCTAAGTCAATCTCCTTGTTGGCGACTCTCATATCATACTCAACATTAATTATCCAAGCAGACGAAAAAATATTTGTCCTGCTACTGCTACGATCTGTACAATTGATGCCGAGATTGTTTTGGTACCACCAAATAACATCACCCAATGAGAAAATTCCTTTTCAACTTGGTTCATCTACTATGTTTTCCTAGACTCTAAATGTGCAGCAGCAGGCTCTACTCAACTTTCCAAAAATTGAGCTGGAGGACCCCGTTGCACAAGGATGTGTCCTTAAACTTGACATAAAGAGCCACATCCCCTGCGCATGATTGATGAACCTTTTCGTAACATCCAAAGTTATTGGATAGGGATGCTCTGGACCGGGTTGTAAGTTGAGTGGCATGTTGCTCTTGTGTTCTAAGTATAGAGGATGTTTAGCTTGAAGTTTAACATTGCAATATTTTTGAAAACCCTAACCTGAGTAGGAGTGAAGGACTGTTTCACTATATGAAGTATAGAGACTAAAACCATTAGCATTAAAGTTTAGGGGCTCACTTACCAAATTTCCCAAAGCATAGTGAGTGTCTAGGCAATAATGACAAATATTTCCATTTAAATTTAGGCGTCTAGCAATGCAATGAGGAACTACCTAGGTAACTCTTTCTTCTTCAATCATTTATAGTGCTACCATGACAAATTATGTGCCATATTCAATTATGTATCTCAATTTGATTGGAAGTCTGAAGCAATCAACTAGGAAGCTAAGTTGCACTCGTGGCCAATTGATGTCTTGGGGCACACTAAAAACCTATGAAATATATTATGAGATACTTACTATATGAAGCATTTCTATGCCTTTGTGTTAGTATTAGTATGAGTTTGTTCGCCATGTTGTTTTGCAGGCCACAAAAGTTCGTGTTAAAAGAACAGTGAAGAGATTAGAGCAAAAGATTCGAGGCCGAGTGCGTATCTATCTTTATAAAGACATTCTTCGTGATAGTGATGCTTATTTTGCAATATTTTTATGCTGGCGATGCTTATATACCGTAGGCAGGTTGTGCAGTGTGCTTTTCATACTTAACATTGGTCAAATAATTTTTTGGTTTTCTTCTATGTAGGTCTTCAAACACTTATTGCTTTTAATGCGTGCATCAAAGAGTACCATCCAAGGAAGAGTAGCTGTAGCTCTTGCACACCTTTGTCTCCCAACAAATCAACGGATGATTTTTATCGATAATAATGGCATGTTATACTTTGGAATATTTATTAGCTTTTCTATGCCCAACATATCATGCTCAAGAGCCATCAACTACCATGTTAGAAAAACTTTTTAGTGACTAAAAAAGCTATTTTTTCATGAAGGATTGAAGTTGCTACTTGGGTTACTTATTTCTTCATGTCCCGAGGAGCAAGTTGATGGTGCACTAGCTTTGTTCAAGTTGGCTAATAAAGCAATGATCTTTTCACCTTTAGATGCAGATTCTCCTGCTCCAGCACCGCAAGTATGCTGTTTATGTATTTACTCTAGCCCATCATACTTATACTTTATTAGAAACTTGGTCTTCGAATTTATAATGCCTATACTTATTGCCTAGTTTCACTCGTGTTTCCCAATGCTCCTTGTCGGAGGAAGGTTTGGTATTCCAGAGAAGCTTGTAATTTAGGGCTTTTGAAGCAACTTCTTCTGTCAGCTACACAATGGTGAATTGATCAACAATGCCATCTGATGGTGATGGTGATCTTTACCTTTGAGGGAATGTTTTGTTATGGGAGAAACAACATTCTATGAGAAACACCACGGAGTTTGGTATGTCATGTGCAGGGTAGGAGGTGCATTTAATCATTGTTAACGAATAATTATGTTTATAGAGGTTGACTTGTAAATAGTCCTACTATCATAAATAGCAAGGGGTGCATAGTCATCCCAACACAATCTTATAATCACTCTCTTGTTCTTTTACTTTCTCATGGTTTCAGAGCCATGACTTTAGCTGCATGTTAGCTAGTGTGGTTAAAATACCTAGTTGAGTTGTTGGGATTCAGAAAAACAAAGCCTATGGATCTAGTTTGTGATGATCAGGCTATACTGAACATTTTTTCTGACTGGGAACCAGGACGAAATTGGTTTGTGGTGATATCAAGATAGCCTTTTGTGGGTTCAAATGATCAACTTGCCGACTTATTTACTAAGTCTCTTGGAGGTCCTTGTTTGAATTACATATGTGACAAGTAACTTATACTACAATATATTTGCTTAAACTTGAAAAAGGGGGGGTGTGGGGTGTGGAGGGGGTGAAAGAATAATTCTATTTTTTTAGACATACATGCAGATACCTATATTGCATACTTATCAATGTACGAGGGGCACACAGTAAAACCGAACTAAACCATAAGCGTGTATTTGCAAAAAAAAAATGTCTCTCTTGTTCCTTCGCAATTACAATAGATTTTGTTAATTGATCTTTTTCTTGTCGAAACAGAGCATATATCCAGCTACTTTTATAAAATGCTTGAAAAGGGACATGCACATTTATAGGACTAACTTTGGATTGGGGATTCCTTAGATCCTTCATAGGTTTAGATTCATCGTAAGGCGGTGCATTTAGGATTAAATTTAACTAGGTTCGGCAACAAACTTGTTTCTCTGAGATATGGAAATACGATGCCAAATCATAGCTATACTTACACTTTCTTTGTGATCATGGTGAAAGGTGAATCTGGTTTGAACACGGAATTGATTTGGCTTGAGAAGTGGTAGTAGGATTCTGTTCCCCTATTCTTGTTGTCCTTCCGAATGGAGCATTTAGTGTAAGAACTGTATTTTACTTGAGCTCAAAACATGGGCTGTAAAGTGTATTACATACGAGTTTATAAGAATGATTTTCTCCTGTTTAAGAGATATATACACAGATGTTCTCATGAACTTCTAACTAAGGAAATTTTGTGATAAATGATGAAGTTGAGGATAATAGAGGATTCTAAAATAAGTGAATATTACCTTAGTAGTCAGCTGCGACTTCTTTTGTGGTATTCATAATGAAACCTCACCTCGCTGATACTTTTCCTAAGTTCTTCCGGGGTCACTAGTTCTACTTAGTTTACTAGACATTCTTCATCTCAGCTTCATCTAATCTAAAAGGAGTGTAAACATCACGAAGTATGAAGTAATTGTGAAATTGATATTTCATCTTGAGGCCTTAAATGCGAAACTATCCATTGTTCCACTTTCATCTTATTCCTACACAATGTTTAAGCGCAATGCATTACTTTGATTGTTGATACTATTCATGTAGTTCAGCTTGTATTATTGTCCATTACATAGTTGCCATCTTGGTGAAGACGCATTGCCTTTTGTTAGAGGGTAAAAACTTGTGAACATCCCGGAAGGGAAAGATTGGAGCACAAGAAAAGGGAAAGTCATAGAGGCAGAATTCTCAACAAACAAATGACGAGTTTGAGGATGTGCTTATCGTGGCAGAATGCTGACATTGGCATGATCTCAAGTGATGTCTGTCACATAGACATGTGTCCGTGTCAATAGGTGGCTCTGTAGAAATCTTGGACGTTTGTATAATTTAAGGATGTTAGAAACAAGAAATCTAAGTTTGAAACTTGATGTTTTCTCTTTCATTGGGCTCTAATACCATCTAAAGAGGAGATAGTAGAGTAAGTAGATATTCTCTTACAGTAAGATGTGAGATCTCAGAATTGCATAACCACAATAATACAGTGGACATTAACATTGTTCACAGGTCATTAAATCCTTCTGGAAATTGAGTTCCTTGTTCTTCAAATCATTTTCATGAAGATTAAGTTTGACAAATCTATTACTATTTCTCCTTCGACATTTATGATCAATTAATTAATTTCTTTAATGCTTTAGCGATGCTTCTTTATTTGACCATATGTTCAATGCGCTGATGGAAGGAGTCTTATTGCAGATCTATCTGAGCGAGCAGTATGTGAACAATGCTATGCAATCTGATGTAACCTTTTTGGTTGAATGTGAGTTCGGGTTGTCTATCTAAGTTTGTATGCTCTTGTAAATTCAACCTAATTTCTGACTCTCCTGTTTGTTTTTATATCGGGCTGCCTCATGGTATTGACTTGCTTGTTGCAGCCAGACAATTCTACGCGCACAGAATTTGCTTGTCTGCTTCTTCAGATACATTCTGTGCAATGCTTGATGGCGGTTATCAGGCAAGTTTATTTATTCTGTTTAAGTTGGTATGTAATCATCAGTTGCGGCAGTCTGGCTCTTATTCTTGAGGAAACATACCCAGTTATTTTCATATTGAAGAAGCCTTATTAAGCTATCTGACTGTAGAGACGGGATTGGGTACACGATCCATTTTGACTGATTTCACTTTATGTGTTCTTACAGGAGAAGGATGCAACTAGCATAGAGATTCCAAACATAAGATGGGGGACTTTTGAGTTGATGATGAGGTCAATGCAATTTTTTTTTAACATGGCAAAGGGCCTATTTGCTTTATTCTCTAATTCACTAGATCCTTTAACTGGTACAGGTTCATGTATTCCGGGTCAGTTAAAATTACACCAGATATTGCACCAGAGCTTCTAAAAGCTGCTGATCAGTATCTCATTGAAGGACTAAAGCGACTTTGCGAGCATGCCATTGCACAGGTTAGCCAGAGAGGTTATCTGTCTATTTCCTTGATTACTGAGATAATTGGGAGTGCATATTGCAGGAACTATCTATGGAAACTATTTTAACTCTCTATGAACTCTCCAAAGATTTCCATGCGACATCATTGAGGCATTCATGCATCTTGTTCATCCTGGAGCATTTCCATGAATTCAGGCATCGGTATGCAATCTCAATAGTTTTTAGACTTCTGAAATTATATAGTTTATTCTGCTAACGAGATAACTAAGAATGATAAATCTTTTGAAGTTGGTGAATTGGAAAAATTATAAAGGTATCTGTTATTTGGAAATTCTGTGGCCATTTGGCAACTAGCAAGCTTGGTATCTCGGTCAGGGCTGGGCTCTTTGCATACCAGAAGAATGATTATTGGCTCGATATTTATACCATTTTCCAGTAATGCCTGGCTAAGGCACTGTCCACAGATGCAACACGCTTTTTAAATGTGTTCTCGTTTAACTTCCAGAGATGCCGCAGATTTGCACATTCTGAACACAACATTTGACATATAAATCTTGTTTCATGTCTGACCAGCACTCCTCAACATTATATCAGGATAGAATTTTAAGGAGCAGATTACATTTGGGTCACATTTACATGCGATATCTCTTGGCTTAGAAACTCAGGATGGAGTCACTTGGTTCTCACATCACTAACAGTTGGACGGTCGAAAATCTGCAATTGTTGCTGAGAAGTAGAGAGAGAGAGAGGGAAAAGCTTCTTGTGTATTAACCAGTAGTGTCTAATACATATACCAAAAATAAGACCTAAAGGTCCTAAGGACCACTTTACCCTTTTACTACTTCTAACACTCCCCCTCAAGCTGGAGCATAGATATTAATCATGCCCAGCTTGTTACAAATATATTCTATCCTCCCATTACCCAAAGGTTTAGTAAAAATATCTGCAAGTTGTTCACCGGTTCGAATATGATTGGGAATGATCATTCCACTCTGCAACTTTTCCCGAATAAAGTGACAATCAACCTCAATGTGTTTTGTTCTCTCATGAAACACAGGGTTGGAAGCTATATGCACTGCAGCTTTATTGTCACACCATAGAGTCATGGGTACTGAAGCTTTGAAGCCTATCTCAGTCAATAACTGTTGAATCCACACTAATTCACATGTCACTTGTGCCATGGCTCTATATTCTGACTCGGCACTCGAGCGTGCAACAACATTTTGTTTCTTACTCTTTCATGATACTAGATTTTCTCCAACCAAGGTACAATAGCCAGCAGTTGATCTTCTATCATCTGGAGACCCTGCCCAATCAGCATCAGAGAATCCTTCGACTTTGCTATGACCATGATTTTGGTAAATAATTCCTTTTCCTGGAGTCTTTTTCAAGTACCTCAATATCCGAATAACTGCATTCCAATGAGATGTACGAGGAGATGATAGAAACTGGCTTACCACACTTACTGGAAAGGCAATATCTGGTCGAGTGACTGTGAGATAATTCAGTTTTCCTACCAGTCTCCTATATCTCTCCGGGTTATCAAGAGTTTCTCCTCCCTCAGCAGCTAGTTTGACCCCTTGTTCCATGGGTGAATCAAGAGGTTTTGATCCCAACATACCTGTCTCATTAAGCAAATCCAGTACATATTTTCTTTGTGATAGAACAATACCTTTATGTGACTGAGCAACTTCAATTCCTAGGAAATACTTCAATTTTCCTAAATCCTTGGTCTGAAACTGTTGATGAAGATAAATCTTTAGTTCAGCTATACCAGTCAAATCATCTCCCGTGATGATAATATCATCAACATACACAATCAAGAACAGTTTGCCTCCCCGTGACTGTTTATAAAAGAAAGAATGATCATTTCCACATCTAGACAGTCCAAAAGAAAGTACAGCATCAGAAAATCTTCCAAACCATGCTCGTGGGGATTGCTTCAAACCATATAAAGACTTCCTTAATTTGCAAACCATAACCCCAGACTCCCCCTGAGCAACAAACCCTGGAGGTTGCTCCATATAAACTTCCTCATGAAGAGTACCATGCAAGAAGGCATTCTTAACATCAAGCTGAAATAAAGGCCAGTTATATGTGGCAGCAAGGGATATCAAAATACGAACAGAAGTAAGTTTGGCAACAGGAGAAAAAGTGTCTAGATAGTCAACTCCATAAACCTGAGCATACCCTTTTGCAACAAGTCGTGCTTTTAAACGAGCCAGAGAACCATCAGGATTGACTTTCACAGCAAATATCCAACGACAACCAATAGCAGCTTTGGCTGAAGGAAGAGGTACCAAGTCCCAAGTCTGATTAAACTGGAGAGCCATTAGTTCTTCTTCCATTGCTGTCCTCCAGCCAGAATTTTGTAATGCTTCAGATACAGACTTGGGGATAGGATATTGGTCCACAGTAGATAGAAAGGATCGAAAAGAAGGAGAGACAGAAGAATATGAGACGAAGTTTGCAATGGAGTGTTGAGTACAAGTACGCGTACCTTTGCGATGAGCAATAGGAAGATCAAGATCAGATACAAGAGGAGGGTCAACTAATGGCGGATCTGGAGCTGAAGATGACGTAGTAGTGTCATGAGCAAGGGGGGAAATAGTAGCTACTCGAGGACGTCGAGTATAAACCTGGAGAGGAGGTGGTTCCTGTGTAGAGACCTGTGAAGTAGTTGGAGCAGGTGACCGAAGGGTAGTCACATAGAAGTCTTCATCAAACTCAGAAACAGAAATTGGAACATCATGATAAGGCGTGGATTCGAAGAATGAAACATCAGCAGTTATAAAGTATTTTCTCAGTAATGGAGAATAACAACGATATCCCTTTTGAGTACGAGAATAACCCAAAAACATACACTTGATCTATGTTGCACCGACACGCGACACGCGACACGCGACACGCGACACGACACGACACGACACGACACGACACGCGACACGTCAATTCTCAAAAAATACCATTTTCCGACACGTTAGGACACGTATATTAAATATATATTTTTAATAATTAAATATCATCACAATTATAAAATGACCTACCACAGCTCTCAATAAGAAAAAAAGACAGCAGTCCACCAAAATTTCTTTTCCCCATCCATCTGACCTCCCCATCTGACCTCCCTATAAGAAAAAAAAACGCAGCCCACCCATCTGACCTAGCCCACTACTTTTCCTTTTCCCCCAACCCACCCACACACGCCCCCCTTCCCCGACTTCTCCCTTCTTCCCGCCTCCACCACCACAATTTCTTTCGAAACGAGAGGGAGCGGCGAGCGCGAGCGGGAGAGGGAGCGGCGAGCGCGAGCACGACCGCGCAAGCGCGAGCCGCGAGCACGACCGGCTAGCGCGACGGCGAGCACGACCGGCGAGCGCGAGCGGCGAGCGGCGAGCAGCGAACGCGACGGCGAGCACGATCGGGAGCGGGAGCGGGAGAGGGAGAAGGAGCGGTGAGCGCGAGGCGCGAGGCGCGAGCACGACCGGCTAGCGGGAGCGGGAGCGGGAGAGGGAGCGGTGAGCGGCGAGCGGCGCGGAGGACGGGAGTTCGTCGGTCGAACAGAGAAGTAAAGAGGCAATCGTGTTTTAGCCCTAATTTGGTGGGCGACGCCTTTTATTGTTCTCTGTTTTCATTTTTTTACAAATTTTACTCTTCGGACACGCCGGACTCGCGTGTCGGACGCGTGTCCGGAGAGTTGACTTCGTGTCGGAAATCCGACACCGTGTTGACCGCGTGTCGGAGGCGTGTCCACGCGTGTCGACGTGTCCAACACGTGTCGACGTGTCCGACACCGACACGTTGGCCATTTTCACGTGTCGGTGCAACATAGCACTTGATAGCCTTGGGATCAAGTTTTGATACTCCAGGTCGATGATCACGAATAAAACAGACATAACCAAAAATACGGGGTGGTAAGACAAATAGTGACACATTTGGAAACAAAGTAGAAAAAGGAATACCACCTCGCAAAACAGAAGAGGGCATGCGATTGATGAGATAGCATGCAGTTAGAACAGCATCACACCAAAAGGTTTTGGGAACCTTCATTTCAAACAACATGGATCTAGTAACATCCAATAAGTGTCTATTCTTTCTTTCAGCAACACCATTCTGTTGTGGTGTATCAGGACAGGAAGATTCATGGATCATACCATGTTGAGTCATAAAGTCAGAAAAAGGTGCAGAAAAGTACTCTTTAGCGTTATCAGAACGCAAAACTTTAACCTGCACACCAAACTGAGTATGAATTTCATACACAAATGCACGAAATATAGAAAACAATTCTGAACGATTTTTCATTAGATATAACCATGTTACCCTGGAATAGTCATCAACAAAAGTAACAAAATATCTGAAACCCAGATTAGAAGCCACATGACAAGGACCCCAAATATCTGAATGAACTAACAAAAAAGGGGACGCTACTCGTTTAATAACTCGTGGCGGGTAACTAATACGATGTAATTTGCCCAGTTGGCATGACTCACACTCTAAACTAGAAAGGGATCCAAAACTAGAATCTAACTTCTGAAGGCTACGTAGAGAAGGATGACCAAGTCGACAATGGATCTGATGTAAGGATGCAACACTAGGACATGCAATGGGAGTAGCGTCTTCAAGTACATACAACCCCCCTGCCTCATGTCCTCTACCAATCGTCCTCTTCGTAGCCAGATCCTGAAAAATACAAGAATCAGGGTAGAATGTTACTGAACACTGAAAATTTTTGGTTAATTTACTGACAGACATGAGGTTAAACGGAAATTGAGGAAGATAAAGCACTGAGGACAATGGCAAGGAAGGAGTTGGATAAACTGTGCCAACCCCCTTAACATGTGTAGATGATCCATTGGCTATGGTTACCTTGGATGAAGATGAAGTAAGAGAGGAAAATATACCTGAAAGACCCGACATGTGGTCAGAAGCCCCTGAATCAATGATCCAAGGACAAGAAGCAGCTGAAAGGCATGTAGTCGCATTACCTGTCTGTACCAAAGTAGCAGTGGAAGAAGCAGGCTGTGAAATCTGAGACTGGGTGTATCGTGCAAACTCCTCATCAGACATAACAACTACCTTGCCTTCAGAAGACTGTGGAGAAGAATCAGTACCAGAAGCAGTATGTGCAAACTGTTGTTGGTGCACTGATCTTCCATGTAACTTGTAACAGAATTTTTGAATATGGCCAGCTTTCCCACAGTAATGACACGTCCGTATGGCCCCTGAGTTGTTAGTAGACACGTGCTGTTGGCCTTGGCCTCTCCCTGGTCCTTCACCTCGGCCTCCTCCTCGGCCACCACGTCCACTATATCCTCCACGATTTCCTCCATCACTCCTGCTACCGCTACCCGATCGAGATTGGAACACAAGAGCTGAACTATCTGCCATAGGTGTAATATCTTGAGGAGACTCACGAGATACCCGAAGTACCCGAGCAAACGTATCCGTGAGTGATGCGACAGCCTCTCCTCCAAGAATCTGAGACCTAACAGTTTCATATTCAGGACCAATGCCTGCTAGATACACCATTACAGCCAATTGTTCTCTTTGAAGTTGCATTTGCTGAATATTGGCTGAAATGGGAAGAATAGCATTCAACTCCTCATACATTCTCTTAAACTCAGCAAAGTATTGCGTCATAGGACGTCCCTTCCTTTCAGATCGGTAAAACTCCTGCGATAACTCATAAACTCGTGACAGGTTATTTTGGCCAGAATATAATACATTCAAATAGTCCCACATTTCTTTGACCGTGTCAATATGAGTTACTAGATCAACTATATTATTTTCCATAGCGTTTAACATCTGACCAAGGATGCATGCATCAACAATATCCCAATTTGCATCATCTTCGGGTTTCGGCTCAGTTATGTGTCTAATCTGATTCCTGCTTGTCAAAGTAAGCTTCACAATTTTCTTCCATTGATGGAAGTTAGAACTCCCCACAAGCTTCTTATCAGTAATTCGATTAGATGAAGACGACATCACCTCAGTCATCACAGGATTATTCCTCTCAGAATCACCCATCCTTCAATATCCCAGCAGACCGTATACTGGCACAACAATTTAGCACTTCAACAGACCATTTATCACAACAATTTAGCAATCCAACAGACCGTATATGGGCTCCCAAGCCTCGTCAACGTTACTAGCCTTCCTCCACACCTCCACCAATCAATAAACTATAACCCGATTGATCAAACATCCATAATCTAAAGTCTAACAACCATGCAATCTAACCTGGCCAGTATTGAAGAGCGACAAAAGCAAGCAAGGCAACAACGACAGCATAGTCCAGCAACAAAACCACTGCAGAAACTATGAAAAGGCTAAGAACACCTTCCCGCCAGCTTGAAATCCATCTTGAAGAATTTTCATTTGATTGTCATTCCATCGAGAGACAATAACACATGCTGAAACTACTGGCCAGTTTCACAAATTTCTTGCATAAAGCAATTCCAGAGGAACAGAGGAACAAAGGAGGAACAGAGGAGGAGAGACCTTCAGAGACCTTCAGTTCATGGAGAGACCTTCAGTTCACGGAGCCAAGGAGACCTTCAGTTCACATCAATGGCGAGGAAACCTCCAATCACCAGGCTCGCGTGACTAGCACGACCTGAATCGCGCGAGCTGGAGCCCCGCGCGAGCTGGGTCGCGCGGCTGAACCCCGCACGAGCTGGGTCGCGCGGCTGGAGCCCCTCGCGAGCTGGGGTCGCCGGCGACGCGTTGTTCCGGCGACGGCGACGGCGCCGGCGACAGGTTGTTCTGGCGGCAGCGGCTAGGGTCGAGGCTCTGATACCATGAGAAGTAGAGAGAGAGAGAGGGAAAAGCTTCTTGTGTATTAATCAGTAGTGTCTAATACATATACCAAAAATAAGACCTAAAGGTCCTAAGGACCACTTTACCCTTTTACTACTTCTAACAGTTGCTAAGAGCCAAAACTCATATCACTAGTGGTTGATCACTTTGTGCCACTATCACCTTAAAGCTAAAGGCTGCAACATCAAGGCCACAGACTTTAGCTAAGTTGGCTAGCGTCACCCTGGTTGCCATTGCAAGGGATTGCTCATTGCAAGTGGCCACAATCCAACCTATATTACCCCGCAGTGAGCCGCAGGACATTGCTTAAGGGTTTTCATCTGGAATTTTTAAGCCAGGCTTATTATTATCCTCAGAAAAATTTCATCCAAGTAGAGATTTGACAGTATTATCTGGAGTTTCTGCATGAGGTGTGTAGTTTTGCCCGTGTTTTCATTCAAGTACGTGCATTTGCCATCGTCACCTGCTGCATTTGTAATTTCACAAAGGATTGCTAGTGAGAAACTTTCATTTGGGTTGGTTCTTTCCAGCCTTGGCCAATTAATATGAGAAAAGGAATTGTGGTACTGCTCCTGGCTATGTGATTTTCTAACTTGTTGCTTTTGTGAGGTTCAGCCTTTATTATGTTCAAAGCGTAATACTAGAGGTAGTCGATTTAGCAGTGAAATCCATCTTCCGCGGTTTGGTTCAGTGAGAAAGGACGGCACTATTTTGGTAGTTCAAATGGATCTTTGTGTATGTCTGTCTTCGCGTATGTATTGATAAGTCTGCTGTTAATGCTCGACTCTTGGTGATCTTGCATGCCTTCATCATTTTGTACTGACAAATGACATTTATTACTTGTCTTATGCCACCCTCCTAATTTCATTCAAATCAGTTTTGCCGTATAATCTTGAAATATAACTGCCTCTTAATATATTATTTTTCAGTTGCATTGTTTGCTAATATGGTTGTTGCAATTCTTCAGGTACTCTCATCTAATTCAAGGAATTGTGTCGGCAATACGTGATTATTTTTCTGAAGTGTTGACTAAGTTAACCTACATGCAAAAGGCGTGAAAGCGCAGCAATTTCATTTGGCTCTGGCTAGTTATGGCGTTTAGAGAAAGTTGGCAGGCCTCTTGATGTAGGAGCAAGCCAATGGTGGACCATCTATACTTATCTCTGAGCCCTATTTTACTCCATAGATAAATTTTGCAAGAATTGAATATAGTCCAACTCTGACATGGTATAGTTCTTTTCATCTGCCCACATTCAATTAAACTAAAGGAGGCTTTCTTAGCCATTCAGGCACACACATCTTTCTTTCTCGAACAGGGACCGATTAGAAAACATTGCGTGAACTCAGTGAGAATTCAATATAAATTCAACTTTTATGCTGGATTTTTCTCTCTTTTTTCATCTGCGATCAACAAATCAACAAAAGGGAAAAGAAGGTTTTGAACGCTACTAGCAAGACTCATCTTTTTCCTTGCTAATTAGTGTGATTAAAAAGGAGTTGTTAATTAGTGTGATTTCGGGAACTAAAAAGGTTTGTTTTAGAATTTAGACAATGACAATGCTCATCCATATACATTATACACACACATGATAAATACACCCAATGCATACAACTATATAGGGATATTATAGTTTTTTTAACACTCTTGTAAGTAGAAGATGTTTTTTTTTTGGAAGAAAAGCCATGAGCTATGATTACTAGTATATTGTCTAAAAGTTATAAAGCTAAACTTGAAAAAGGTAATTTCATTTAAGTTGATTTTATTTTGAATTTCACGCTAATTTACAGTTTGTGCTTAACAAAATACCATGATTATATTCTGCAGTTGATGAGAGCTTTGGTGAGAAGTATGGGCTGAGGTGTGCCAAAATGTGTTAATAAATCCGACCATCATGACTTGGTGGTGACGATGTTGCGTTAGTTGACATAAATCTTTCACACACACAATTACTAACATAAATCTTTCACACACAATTGGGGAATGGATATCCATTTGTGTATATCACTCAGCTACTATATGGGTATCTGCACACGTTCTGCATGCATTGAGTATTAAACTGAATGTCAACTCATGAGATCTATTTTTATTAATTATACGCACAATTGTAGTCATATATACATAACGCATGGATTACATTATCTTAAATAAACTTTAATAATACGTTGATTTCCCTATTGATAGCGATATGTGATATTACTTGTTGATACTATGCTGTTGTGCTCTCAAGATGAGTGGTGAGTAGATATCCTGCTTTTGACGTAGAGCTTTTGTTTACTAAGCTTAGGCTTATCCCAAAATATTTTACAGATGAGTCGAGTTTGCAGTTTAGGGACATTTACATTAGCACTTTCGAAGATCTCTTCTAGGGTGCACCTTCTATTTGGGAGTATTAATTATGTGCATAAAGAAAAACAAGTGTACCTCATTTGGAACTAAGTTATTCATTCATTCGATTGAAAATTCGAACTGTATGGACAATTCAGGTCGTGACAGATATCCCAATATTCGATGTGTGGCCCGGCCCATTCTTATGCCACCTGCCATCTTAAAAGTACGTTAGGAACTACACCTTGATTGAGCCCTCTCACCATGATGATTACTCCCCACCCTTGTTGAATCGAGTATGGGTCTAGTATGTCCATGAAACACACATTCACAAGGGTTCTCCTCTGATAACATCAATAACAACCCGGCCTATTCTACTTGTGTCAACCTCCCAAAAGCAGTATTCCGAGTAACCACACAAGATGATTGACCATTTGAGAATGGATGTTGACTTATAAATAACTCCACACGGCCTCTCCCATCCAAAGTGGAAATTGGGACGGCACATTGAAAACTCAAATGTGTTGGCCACAAAAAAAAAGAAAAAAGAAATAACGAATGCAAAATTTTCAGCGGCTAAGGGATCGTTGCCAATGAAAATCACGACGGGATCATCATCATCATCGCCAATTAATTCCACGGGCTACACTTCGATTTGGACACTCTTAAAAACGAGGGACATAAATAATTTTACTTGAAAGGAAAACTAAATATTTCGAATTATACAAAATACCACAACAATGGGACATTTTCTCCTACATCCACGGTATTATAGTTGCAATACACCTTACAAATGTTCAGTTTCTTGAAAGAAAAAATCTATTTTTGATTAAGTAACGTAATATTTTCTCCACCGTAAATTTCAAATGCTATAGAGATGATTTCAATAAATTTATCTACGATTTTTTGGTCAAAATTTATGCAATGATATATTAAATAGTCAATTATCGGCATATGTAACTACATAAATTGTCTTTTTGATGCGTAAAAAATTATGTAGAAAGTAATCTTTGTTAGCGTTAACATAATTCTTTATGCAGAAAATTTTAAATTAAAGAATTTGAGACCTTCATGATTTTTCACAGTAAGAGAGATAAAGACATAACTTTCTCCATAGCAATGACCTTGAAAAAAATGACTGTTGAAGAAATAGAAGAAATGAAGAAATCTGATTTCTCTTCCTTGACCCAGTTTTTCTTAACGTAGTTTATCTAATGGAGGATAGAATACAACCTTTGGTTGTCTTGAGTGAGAAAGGATCAGATTCTATTTATACAGGCTATCAATCGGTGTCTTCCATCAAATTACATTATATCTTCATAAGAGTCGCATTTTTCCATAAGAACTCTAACTGCTCATAATGATTGCACCTCTTTATAATAGTTGCATCCCTTCATAAGAACGATAACTTCTCATAAGAATTGCACATTTTCATAAGAGTTGTATTTTTTCATAGTCAATACATTTTAGCACTTAAATAGTCATCAAACTTTTAATTAATAATAATATCACATGGGCCACAATTATTCTTACAATCTTTTCTTAGGAGTTAATTAATCATCTTTTTGGATTGGGAAAGGGACATTGCAAGCTATTTTGTAGTTCCTTGATGAAAAGGAAAATAGAGACAATATTTTGAAGTAGCTATTGTAAACTGTAATTTCTCCTATCATAGCTCCCAATTAGAAATCTCCCAGATTGATTTGAATTCTTCTAATTGGGCAATCACTAGAATTGATGTCATCCTAGTATTCTTTTGAAATAAGACTCCTTAATGAAGATTTATTCCTTTTCAGCGTCATACCGTAATCATATTCCTTCCTATTAGGTATTATTGATGAGCAATAATCAAGATAATGCAAATTGACTCCCGAATATATTGGGTTGCTCCCAACACATCTTCCCTAGCCCATCATGAAGGGCCTTAAACTTCCTTATCACTTCAATAAAGCCAGTAACTTTAGTTTTTCGTAGATAGAGACTTTGTCAATATATCAACGCCATTTTTGTCCATGTGGATCTGCTCGAGCATCAATTGCTTCTCTTCTAACATTTTTTATATCCAATTATACCTAATATCAATATGCTTTGTCCTCGAATGAAATGTGGAATTTTTATTGAGATGACTAGCAGTTTGGCTATTGCAGTGCACAACATACTCATCTTGCTTGTGCCCAAACTCTTGAAGAAATTCCTTTATCCACAACATCTTTTTACTAGCTTCGGTGGTGGCTATGTACTTAGCCTCCATTGTGGACAATGCAATGCACTTTTGCAATCTCGATTGTCAATATATAGGTCCACCCGCAAAAGTCATCAAATAACCAGGTGTAGATCGTCTAGAATATATATTGTCTAGAATATACATCTCTCGTCATGTCTGCATCGGTGAACCCCTCAAGTATCAATTTTCAATCACCAAAACACAAACACAAACTAGATGTACCTTTAAGATATTCGAGTATCCACGTGACAGCCTCCCAATGTTATTTGCCACAGTTTGACATTTATCGGCTAACAATTCCAACAACATACCCAATATCCAGTCGTGTGCACACCTTTGTACATATGAGATTTCTGACGACAAAGGCATAAGGAATATTTAGCATCTCTTCCTTCTCCGTTTCACTTGAGGACACTGTCTCATGTTAAGCTGAAAATGGCTAGCCAAAGGTGAGTTAAACACTTTTGCGTTGCTCATGTTGAATCTTTTCACAATTTTCTCTACATATCTCTCTTGGGAAACTCACAGCTTTCCATAAGCTCTATCACGCAATATCCTCATCCCAAGTATCTGCTTTGCCGGTCCAAGGTCTTTCATGGAAATTCTTCCCTCAACTCCTTCTTAAGCTTCATGATTTTTCTAACATCATGCCCCACAATTAACATATCATCAACATATAATAAAAGAATAAGAAAATCACCGTCATTGAACTTCTTGATGAACAAGCAATGATCTCCTGTCGTCTTCTTGTATTCATTCCTCTCCATGAATGAATCAAATTTCTTGTACCATTGCCTTGAAGCTAGTTTTAACCCATAGACTCTTCTTCGACCTACATACAAGATTTTCCTTTCCTTTGGTCACAAAACATTCAAGCTGCTCCATATATATCTCCTCATCAAGATCACCATGTAAGAATGCTGTTTTAATGTCGAATTGCTCGATCTTCAAGTTCAAAGTTGCTGCTAAATCAAGAACTATTCTAATGGATGACATCTTTACAACATGAGAGAAAATCTCCTCATAATCTACTCCCTTCTGCTGATTGAAACCCTTTACCACTAATCTTGCTTTGTAACATGATTTGGTGCTATTTTCTTTAGTCTTCAACCTAAACACCTATTGTTCTTGAGTGCTTTTCAACCCTTTATAAACTTCACCAAATCATAGATGTAATTATCATGCAAGGATTACATCTCTTCTTGTAAGTCTTGCAGTGCTTTCATCCATTCCTTCTTGTGGTTATCAATTTTCACTTCTTGGAAATTCTTTGGTTCTCCCCCGTTAGTGAGAAGCACATACTCGTTTGGTGAGTATTTTCTATTAGATTGCTTTTCTATCATTGATCTCCATGGCTGCTCTTGAGGAATATCATCAACATCAATTGTTTCCTCCCCAACCTCATCATCAACTTCGGCTTTTCCTTCTTCTTGAGCTTCCGCTCCATCATCGCCACCATCTTTATATCAGTCTCGGCGTCAACTTCTTCAGTAGCCTTATCATTGGTTACTGTCTTGATTTGTGCTTGCTTAGCCAAATCATTCTTGACCTCTTTTTGTGCGCCCCCACCAATAGAATTTTTTGATGAGTCTAAGGCCTCCAATTCAACTAAGTCTTCCTCCACACTTTGAGGTTCTTCGTACTTCCTGAGGTTTTTTATAGTTTGATCCTCAAATAACACCACATCTCGGCTTCGAAACACTTTTTGCTTTTGGGATCCCACAATCTATAGCTAAAATGCTCGTGAGTATATCTCAAGAATATGCACTCTTTGGCCTTTCCATATAGCTTGGTTTGTTCATCTCTTGGTATGTATGTGAATGTCCTGCAATTAAACTGTAACGTCCTCACCTCAGGGTAATTAATAAGACGTTCTAGGCGCGTCGCCGTCCCATTTATTTTATCTTCTTATTAAGAGCATGCGAAAGCATACAACCAACACCTAGGCAACGACAAGCAATCAGAAAAAATAACTTTGCAATACACTTCTTCTTATATTACATGAGTGTATTTTACAAGCCCTTTTTTACGGGCCTTTTTCCCTTTTCAACACACTACACGTATCCGCGTAGGCTGAGGAAAATTTCTATCTTCTCTGGCATGACAACAGCTCCCAAAATTGGTGTGAGACTTCCATGCCTACAAATCTGAAAAACAAAAGAGTGAGTTGAGGACTCGGTAAGTGAAACTCACTAAACTTCGGATAGGAGGACGCTTCGCCATCGAACAAAGCACATGTTGTAACCACATCGATTGATAGCAGATCAATAGCAAAGATACATCAAACACATGCGTTTTTTTTTTATGTGCATAAGATGATCTCAACTTGCCTTTCTATTCAAGCAAAAACATCTCAACCAAAAGCATGCATATGAGAGATTCATTATCTCAACCGTTGGTACAGCTCTTTCGAAAATTCTTCGGGCAACGTCCCCTAATCCAAAGGTGACGACTAATCATCCGAACTTAATCGAGCAACGTCCCCTAATAAATGGCAATAGCTATTCATCCGAACTGAATCAGGCAACGTCTCCAATCAAGGGTGACGGCTATTCTTTTCCCCTGTGTGACCATGCCAACAAGCATCATGCCAACTTGAGTACTTCACGCGAAATGAGCATCATGCCATATAGCTTTCAAAATCTTACATCATGCCATGTACGAAACCAAGTTCGTCCGAACCGACCGATCATGGCGCCGACCTACACCAAGCAAGGTTTGGATCGATACGCCCCAATACCGACCCTCCAAGCAAGGCTCGTTCCAATACGCCTCGACACCGATCCAAACCAAGCGAGACTCGTTCATGGCCCGGGGCGTGCATTCATACATGAGCAATCCTTACAAAATGCATATACATGCACGGCAAGTTATATCAAACGTACACAACAGCGGAATCCACCCAAGAACAAAAAGAACGTGACTCGCCCAACAACGTAACACATCACCCTAGCCAAGGTTTAGTAAGTCCACTTACAACCTTCCGAGGTCGTGGCCGAGTGTGGCCTAGGGGTGAGCCGAGCGATAAGGGCACGGTGTGGCATAGGTGCGGGTACGGCAAAGGCGCAGCCAAGAGAGAGAGAGGCGGCCAAGAGGGGAAGTGGCATGAACAAAGGGGTGATGGTGCAAATGAGAACTAAAGAGTGGAAATGCAAAAGGGGAGGCTCATCTATTTATAGGCCTCAATTTCATCATTGCTTATCCAAGTGGTCCAATTGTTTTCTTTGAAGTGGCAAATCTATTTGAGTGAGTTGGCTAGCCTAGTGAATGAGGGACAAGCCTAACAAGAAGAGGTGGCAAGCCTAAAGCGGAGATGTAGCATGCCTGTGCCATTAGGAAAATCATGAAGCCATGGTGTGCATTTCTCATTGGCAAACTTGGTCATGAATCATCAACTTCTTCCCCAAGGTAAATCTTGAGCCATCATGACCAAATCTTCCTTATGCCACCTAATATGATGATTCACCCCTTGTAATGATAGCCCATGTTCTAGAGTCTTCTCTTTTGTCCATACTTTCAAGAATATGGCAAGTGTGAGAATTAGATCAATGGAAGTATTAACTTGGTTAGGTATGAATCTCTCGTGTCCATCCACGATTGACCATGCCTACTCAACCGAGATTCGTAGCCGAGTTACCATCAGAAGTGGTGGGTCGTGGCCAAAATTGTTTTGAATGACTAAGTCGGTGGCCCATGTCAAGGGCACAATGGCCAGCACTGATTGAGCGCTGGCCTAGCAAACCGGGTGCATGGGTCGTGCAGACCGGGCGCACGGCTCGTGCAGACCGGGCGCATGGCCGTTGCACGACCTGGCGCGCAGCCCATGCAAACCGGGCTCATGTCTCGTGAGCAACTTGGTGCGCAGCCCATCTGCAGCGTCCACAGGCTATACAACACATGGCCGGCGTTTAGGCTGGCCTTTGGCCTTACGTGAGGGTTCAAGTTAGGCACGTGATCAGCTCGTGGCCCGGTACATGGTCTAGCACATGGCTTAGGCACATGACCCATTCGGTAAGGTTGTCGAACCATTCCGCGATCAATCCGCGATCGATCCACGACTGGTCCGTGACCTGTCCAAGTGTCCTATGGTTGGGCCATGGCCAATCTATGGCCAAGCACACTTGGTCCATGGACAACCCTCGGTGGTTATGTAGTTGTGTGGGACTGATTGTTCTGTGACCAATACACGGTTGCACAGATCAATCCATGGTCGTCCGCGATCGGTACATGACTGTGCGGAATCACCCGCGATCGGAATAAGATTGCGCGAAATTGATCCATGATCGTCCATCGATCCGTGGTGGTACAAGACCGTCCCATGGCCAACCCTTATAGTTGAGAAGTCGATCCATGGCCGAATAGCTCGAGTCACTTATATGATCATTGGATTGATTCGCTGTCAATCCCTTGATCATTCCAGGACCGATCTTTCGATCAGACCATGATTGATCCCTCGATTACCCTTCTGATCTGGTCGATCGGTCTATGACCTATCCTTGGATTGATCCATGGCCGATTTCTCCCATAATCGTCACGCCAGTTCTATAGCTATTTTTGTATAGCCAAAATCGTGGATGTCACATAAATACTCTCAAGTGACTGTAATATGAATTCTTACCATTCCATACACTTTGTGGTATCTCGCCTTTGAGTGGAATTGAATGTGATAGATTTATCAAGTTTACCACCGTCCTCATTGCCTCCCTCCAAAAAGAGCTTGACAACTTTGCATGGGAGCGGATACACCTTATCCTCTCACATATTGTTCGATTCATCTTCTTGGCAATACCATTATGTTGTAGTGTCTTAGGCACTGTTTTCTCAAGTCTTATGCCATGAACTCTACAGTAATCCTCAAATGGCCCTCGGTATTTTCCATCATTATCAGCCCTCACACACTTCAATTTTCTACCGGTCTCCCTTTCTAGTTTCACATGCAAATCTTTGAAGGTATGAAGAACTTGATCCTTCATCTTCAATGCAGTAGTCTACACCTTCTTTGAAAATCATCTATGAAGATAGCATAATAAAAAGCACCGCCAGCAATTCTCAAAGTCGCAGCACAAACATCAATATGTAACAAATCAAGTCGATTAGCCTTGTTCAATGGTGAAATAGATTTGAAAACAACTCTATTATTTTTTCCAACAATGCAGTCTTCACAAGGGTTTATAGAGGTACCTTTTATGTCTGGGAGTAACTTCTTCGATGTAAGAACCTTAATTTCATTCTCACCCATATGTCCAAGCCTTTTGTGCCAAAGTTCGGTAGATATCTCCGTCATTGCATTAACATCTCCACCGCATAACTTCACTTGTATGGTATAGATGATATGCTTTTCACTCATCTTGCTACCACCAAGTTGCCCTTGATTAACTTCCACTTCCCTTCACCGAAGTAACTCACATAACCATCATTTTCTAGCTTTCCTGCGGAGATCAAATTAAGGCAAATATCAGGGACATGCCTTACCTCTTTCAAGATCATCTTGCATCTATTGTTGATCTCGATCTCAACACTTCCTATGCCAACAATCTTTGACGAGCCATCATTACCCATCCTCACGAGACCGAAATCTCTAGCTGTATGTGAAGAGAAAAATTCTCTCTTGAGGACTACATGAAAGGAGGCTCCAAAATCAACTAGCCAAGTGGGGTTCTGGCATGTTAAGTAGATGCTCTCATCATTGCGGATAACTATCATGTCTTCATAAACTGTAGCGACATTTGCAGCTAGTGCTTCAACTTGCTTCTTGGCTGCCTACAATCGACGATCTCTAATGATATGCCTGGTTTTTCTACAGTGAAAGTAAACCCTCTTCTCAGCCCTTAGCCTTGAGGTTGAACGATCTTTTGGTCCATGGCTTTTGCTCCTCCCATGGTCTACTTTCTTCTCTTGTTCATTGATAACAAAAATTTTATCACCATGGTTGTCGTACCCCTCATCCTTGTGCCTTTACTCTTCACTCAGTAATCTATCCTTCACTAACTCCGCGGTCAAAGCTCCATTAGGTGTTGAATTGTGAATTGATATAACTAAGGTGTCCCAATTTTTTGGCATAGAACCTATCAAGAAGTGTGCATGCAATTTCGAAGTGATCATCCTTTCCATTGCATTGATTTGATTCAACATAACTCTCATAGTGCCTATGTGTTCAGAGACACTTGTTCTATCTTTGCATTCCATACGCAACACCTTCTTTTTCCAGCTTGCTATGTTTTGAGATATATTCCTCACGTATGTTCGCTCCAGATTTGTCCACAAATCATAAGTGTTGTCTTCTTGCGCGAAGCTTCCAAAGATGCTTTAATGGAATCATCTTATAATGGTGCCAACACATCTTTTATTTAAGATAGTCTACTCCTCCTCCTCCTCCTCTATTTCTTCTTTTAGTGATAATATTGGGGCTTTTGAGGAATCTTCTCATTCATCTCCAGCTTTTGTTGATTTAGGAGTTGGTGCCAGAGTCTTTACCATGCCCTTTGGAGGTATTCTTCTCTTGATTGACCTTTGCAAGCCTTTGATGTAGAGATGATCCTCTATCTTGCACCTTCATATTGCATAATTCGTAGTCATGAGCATGATCATGTTGACCTTGTCTTTTGACATCTTTTACAACCTTAGAATTTGATACCACTTTGTTGTAAATTAAGTCAGATCGCAACAGATCGCAGCGAAATTCTAATTGTCAGAATCGTGCAATATTCGGTCGTATATTCTCTTTGTAGAAAAAACGTAAATGGCACAGCAAAAGAAGAACGATACACCAGAAATTTTAACGTGGAAAACCCACTAAGGGAAAAACCAGGGGATGGTGATCTGCTCCACAATAATCAAAGGATTACAAAAAACACTCTAATTGTGTTTCTCTCACAATAAATCCTTACAATTGTCACAAAACACATCCTCACTTGATCAACTCTCAAGATCTCTCGTGTCTACACACATTGTTGAAAACTCCTGTTATCTCTCTTAAGTATTTTCTAGTGCACACAGAAACCTCCACCCAAACCCTTCTATTTATATCGGTAGATCTCCACCCAAGTTAGGAATCCTCCCTAATTGATTGATAATCACCTCCCAATTAGAAATCTCTCCGATTGATTGGAATTCCTCTAATCAAGTAATCACTATAATTGATTCCATCCTGATATTCTTTCTAAATAAGATTCCTTATTTATGATTCTTTCCTTTTTAGCGTCCTACCATAATAGGACTCCTTATTAGGTATTATTCATGAGAAACCATCAAAATAATTCAAATCAACTACCAAACATGTTAGGCTGCTCCCAACAGATTAAGACAGGATAAAGTTAGATATAAGAGAGATATAACCCGGATAAATTTCATATATATAAATATATATTTCATTTTTATATTTATTACGTATTTTAGGTATATTAGTATAGTTTACTGTTTAATAAAATTTTAATAGAGTGTGATGGAAGGGGAAAAAGAAATAAAAAAAGAGGGAAAATAATAAAAAAAAATAAGCAAATAAAAATGAAGTAGGCAAGGGTGTCGTGAGAGATTCTTACCATTTTCATTTGTGCAATTTTTAAGTTCATTTACATTGATATATCATTCATAATAAATAATGGACATGGTAAGATGTTTATATAACCAACTTTATTTTTGCAATTCATTAAACAATAGAAAGGATATAGTAAAAAATCCCTTGGATTTCATATCATATCCTATCCAGTCATATTCTGTCTAGAAATCCAGACGATCAAACACAGCCTAAGAGTTTAACGAAGCTTTGACTAGTGTTTTCTTCCTCATTTGATGTTGGATAGCTTCTAATTTCTAGTCTTAGAAAATACAATGAAAATTAAAAGTTGAAAACTTTTGTGATGACATTCAAATCGAGTGACCGATATAAAAAAACATAACATCAAATGACCCAATTCTTAGGTTCGAGAGAATTGAGTATTGTGACATCACGGGATTAACTCACTTAATGTATTGCCCATTTTGACCTGTATTATACTTGGGAATCACGGTTTTATTCTTTGGCATACAGGTAGGCACTTTCCTAATAGATCACCTATCTTGGTAGTTTCATCACCCCAGGATGCTTAACGTTGGAGTGTCACGCACCGAACCCCATCGAGCTCGCGACATCCCTCTCTCAGGTCGTATTAGTGCGACGTCCCAGGAAATGTCGCCGACCTCACGATTCCATTAGAGTTCGATCACGGCGGAAACCAATGAAATAAACCCGGACAATAAAATTGGAGAACACCAGGAAGAAATAAATCACCAAGCCACCAAACATAAAACTATACCTCGATATATAAATATACAACATCCAATTCTTTACAACCAAACACTTCCAACACCCATCAGATTCACATCAATTGATAGTACACACCCGAACGGATTTCCTGATTACACCACCAACTACTCACATCAAGCACTCCCTAATTTAATATCAAACTTATAATACACGCACACCAACTGGCTTCTACGGATCGCGTCCTCGACCTCAAAAGGGATCAGCAGCCAAGGTATATTCTACTCCTGAATGCTCGGTGTGCATTGGGATCCCAAAACGCTACGGCGGTAACGGCGGAAGGTTCAAGGCTAGGGCGGGTGCTCTGAAATGGTTTGGTTGAAACAATCATGAGACACTTCTCAATAAGTCACAACCTAAACCCTACCTAGGCTACCACGTATTCCAGACAAGTTCAGACACACAAACGAGCAACACGAACAAACACTATCCACGCAATCACACTTACCTGGACTTTTGGCATACTCAGCCTGCACGTTAGTTCATAATCACAACATTCAAAACTCGCACGCATTTCAAGCTTCGCGCACCCCAAACCACACACATTTCCATGCCAAAAACACACATCGATCATGCACTATCACATCAATTTCATTTACTTTCCTCGTCGTACCCCACCATCTCAATCACTTTCATGGCCCGCGTAAACACGCCTCAGGCCCACACGATCGCGCCCCGAGCATCACACGCCTCGGTCCGATCCCACTTTCTCTGACCGTGCCACACACCCCGTTCTCAATCACATTCTTCGGCCCGCGTATACACTCCTCAGGCCCACACGATCGCGCCCCGAGCATCACACGCCTCGGTCCGATCCCATTCACACGTTCTTTCCTCAGCCCGCGCCAAATGCGACAGGCCTACGTGATCGAAACTCGAGCTTATAATGCCTCGGTCCAATCCCGGTCTCACCCGAGCTGATCGTGCCTCGGACCGATTTCATTCTCACTTTCTTTCCTCAGCCCACGCCAAATGCGACAGGCCTACGTGATCGAAACCCGAGCTTATAATGCCTCGGTCCGATCCCACAATCATATCACAACTCGCGTCAACACGCCTCCGGGCCTTTTTGTGATCACCCGCACGTCGTACGCCATAAATTTCATGCGTGTGCATACTCAGGCATTAAATACGCGCACTTAGAGGCGCCCAAATCAAACAAATCAATTCAGCCACATCACAACGTACAACCAACACGCAATTTGCCCTTTTTCGACACCAAAACTACGATATCTCACTCCTAGCCCTTCACAGCACTTTCACGAAATTCCGAGCCGGATCTAATGGCACCAACCACACACCAAACAGCATATCACAGCACTTAAAACAGCAATTTCCAGCCATCGATCGGCCTTTAAAAATCCATCAAAATCTTCCGATTTCAATCCTAAGGCCCACCAATCGAATCAACCCCTAAACTACACCAAATCACGTCCAAACGGGTCCGATAATACCCGATATACTAGGCGGGGTTTAGATTGCAACTTACCGGACTCTAGACTAACTCGGCTAGAGCGGGAAAACGGGCGGCGATCGGCGGTCCGTGCGGCGGCGAGTGGCGGACAGCTCAGCGGTGGTGTGGATGGCGTGCGGCGGCGGCGACGGCTTCCTTGCCGCGGCTCACGGCCACGGGAGAGGGAGAGGGGGACGGCGGTGGCACGGCGTGAGGGTGGG